GTTATTGGAAATATAACTATTATTACTATCGCTTTGCTTACACAATCTTTTAAAAAACGTTGCGGTCGCTATTGTTATCACATGTCAAATAATTGTGTGTGAAAACTGATTGTGATTGATTTAAAAATTAGAAAATTAGGCCACAGAACTGATAAATTTTATTAGTACGTCCCATAGACATACACAGTATTTAAATAAAACAAATCGATTTTCTTCTATAAATGTTTTCTCATTATTCGGAGGTTTCAAAACCATTTTTTTAACATTCTAGTAAACGAAAAGTAAATTTCAAAGTAATGCAGTCTTGGATAGATACTTTAATGAAACATAGGAGATAGAGATGAAGTGTGAAACTGTGGACTTTAAGGAAACCCCTTACCATATACTTTACTTTAAAATACAAAGTTTATTTCGGTCTATATTAATTTTTAAACTTCTGTTCCTACAATACATAATACTAATAACCACATTTTTAAACTTATTTATATATGTCTTTTATATATAATGAAAAAATGCTTAAATTCAATATTATAAACATTATTACTCGTAGTTTCAATTGATTCGATAGAGGTCATTAATATTGGAAAATACTTAAGATATTGTCTCGCATAAACTACAAAACAAAATAAACATATAAGTAAAATTTATTTAATTGCGTATCAAGATAAATGTTCCTTTTATAGAAAAAAATCCTTGAAACTAAAAATTCTAATATTTATTAAAAAAAACTTTTTTTTTACTAAAAAAAATAATAAATGTCTTTCAATTTTTGTAAATTATCTACGTGCGAACTCAAAAACAAAACAGTAAGTGAATTTTAGTAAGAATTATTTTAGTTAAAATTTAAAGGAGGTTACTTTTAGAAAAAATAAAATTATGTTAGTCATTACATTTAAACCTTTCTCTTATAATCCTATTATTTCCTATTAATATTATAAATGTGAAAGTTTCTTTGTTTGGATGTTTAGATGTTTGTCTGTCAATCACGCCGAAACTACTGAACGGATTTTGATGAAATTTGGTATACAGATAGGGTATTAGCTGACTTAGATAATAGGATTTATCCCACTAAAGATTTCCCTAGGGTCCACGCGGGCGAAGCCGCTGGTGAAAGCTAGTACTAAATGTATATAAAGCATCTGAGGTGCTTGACAATAAGGATATTTCGATAAGTTATGAATATTGCGTTGTGGATGCTAAATAATACTCAAAAACATTACTGACTGCTCTTAAATTCATACATACATGCATGTATATGCACACTAAATACATGTTTGCCCGCCATTGTTCGTACTTGGTATACAAATAAGATAGTAAGTTCAGTGAGACGGGACAAAGCCCAACTCCTTACAATGTAACTTAGGGACGGTTTGGAACTTCGTTAGCCCGCCCTCGTATCACACTATACAGACTGCTCTGAAATCTCTTAGGATTATTGAAAATTTATAATTTGTTTCACAAAAATTTGCATATTTCTATCTATTAAATATCAAAGAAAATTAATGAATAAAACGGGGTGGGCTCGCGATGTTTTTTCTATAATGACATAAATAACAAAAATTAAATTAACCCATTAATAATATAAAAAGTATACAAACACTATAAAAAAGGTTTCATTACAGTTGTCGGCAACAAATAGTTTCCATTTTTTACACAGATTTATTATTGAAAGAAAATAGATTTGATAAAATAATAGTTAGATAACTTCATAATTTAAAAGTTAACTGACGTAAAATTGTAAAAATAGTGATTTGAATTTGGAAAACTACTTTTCTTAGTTATAGTTGTCAAAACTATAAAAAAAATTAATTCCACATATAGAAACTATGAACCCAAGCAAAAATCGAATTCATCAGAAAGCAGATTCCATCTCATTTTTGCAATAACATTTTTTGATTATAAGTAAGTATATTCTTATTCATCGTAACTTTAATACTTGATTCTTATGGTAGGTTTTAGATAAATCATATTTTTCAACCTCCTGTATATATAATGTCAATATCTAATGCCTACATTTCATCTTATCTCTTCTCGGAACGTCGTCAAATCAAGGCATTGATGTTGTCATTATATAGAGAAATGACTAATGTAATTAATTGGCTTACAGAAATTATTATTATTTTCATTACAAGTAAATGCTAAAAAGTTCATAATAACGTGCATTAAAATAATGTTTACAGAAATTTAAAAATCACTTTGAGTAAGTGTACTGGTTTTAGACCACACGGACTTAGAATGTAAATAATCTGAGCACACGGATTGTACTCATACATCAAAAATGATGCGATAAGATTGATTGATAATATGTAAAAAATGTACTAAACATTGTTTTTATTTGTGGTTGTAATAAATGAATTCGCGGATTCGTGTTTGTCGACACGTCAAAGTACTGGCTTAAAAAATTGTTTGAAATCGGTTTTATTTAAGTAAGTATGTTAAATCACATCAGTTACCACATTTTAGTAGTTTTTAGTTACTTATAATAAAACGGTAACAAATATAATATTACTGTAACAGGATGAAATGATAATCTATTTTTTTTTTAATGTTTAAAATATTTTATCAATATTTGAATATCAAGATCTATGCTCCTTAAGATAAAACATATAAGGCTTTCAATTATAAACAACGAAAATATGAAACTTTTTTTCAAAAAAAAAAAGGAACAGTTTTCAAATTTTGAAAAAGTGATGAATAATACTTATTTTAAAAGCGACTTATCAAGCAAATGCGATTGAAGTCGGGTGCCTATCATTTAATTTATAATCTACAGAAAACCTCCGCCTGGCTTCAGTTTTCTTGAATAAGTCGCTTATGAAATAAGTATTGTTCATCACTTTTTTAAAGTTTATAGTAGTTTCTATTTTTTAACAAAGTTTTTATTTCATGCTTTTTGGAGATATTGATATTTTTTATATAATAGGTAACACTAAAAATATTAAATATCTATATGAATACAAAAATATTCAACATAGTGAAAGTATTAGAAAAGTAGATTTTGATTATTTGCACGACATATTTTTTTAAATACCTATATTCATATTATAACGAGGAGAGATTTGATCGCTCATTTGTTTGCATTGGATATGCTCCGAAACTATTTAACAGATTTATAAAAGTCTATCATCTACTGGAAGCTACATAATACGAGGGCATATGTCCCCCGAATATCTAGGTAATTTACGCAGGCGAAATTACGAGGCAAACAGTTATACTCTATTCATTAAAGCATTAGACATATGTTAAATAAGGTTCTTTTTATAGTATACTTTGTGACAAAATATCAATAATCATTTTACTCTTTAGACTGACGGCTAATTTGCTATATATCCACTTAAATACCAGCTGCTATACTTAACCGCTGTCGTTTAAGCTATCTATTAAACAAATTTATGAGTAATTGACTAACTTAAATGATGTAATAACTTTTACAATAAGAAAGTGTTCATCTTAAAGAACCTAAAGAAACAGGGTTGGATAGTTCGGCACTATTCTCATGTCACTATAACTCTACCGAATTTAAAATGTTGCCTAATGCCTTCAAACGTATATAGTACAGCTTTTTATTTTGTCAGATTATGATATAATAGCGGCCGCCAGCGACTTCGTCCGCGTTTTCCATTATTTATTCGCTCCTAATAGTTGCAGTGTGATGTTATATAGCCTAAAGCCTTCCTCGATAAATGGTCTATTCAACACAAAAATATTTTTTCAATTCGAACTAGTTTCTGAGATTAGCGCGTTCAAACAAACAAACAAACAAACTTTTCATAATTGTCAAAATACGTCATCTGGGATTGTCATTCATTGTGAATAGTAATGCCTTTTTTGTTGTTTTGCCGTTTTCCGTGATTATGTTGTTATTTTTGTTATTGTTGTTTTCTTATCGGTTTGTTTTAGTTGTTATCTTTTTGTTATTTTGTTAAATATGGACGATGCCGGTGCAGGCCCGACAATAATTACTTTTGACATTTTAGGAAGTTTTCCAATATCTTCGTCAATAGTCCAATAATATCAGATTTAATGTTAAAAAAGTAATATATTTTTTTAATTTTGTTTACCTTCCTTTCCTTTGCGTAGATACAACTAAATTCTATTCTAAATATAAACACTTACAATAAGAATTTATCAAAACAACAGATAGATAGTGAATTTTTTCCCATCTTATTCTGTTTAAAAGTGCACGCATAAGAAAGGAGTAATTACGACACTTTGCGGCTTTCTTTGGAGTCTCGAAAGACGAACAGTAAAGTCGTCTAAGTCCATTTCAAAGAAAAAAAAAGAAAAGATCTTTACTTGAAAAGGATTTACGGTATTAAGGGAGGCACGGTATCACACCGTCACCGAAAAAATGTTATGATATTTAAACTTTCTTAATGATATTTTTTATACGAAGTCGATAAATAATAGTATATTAATAATAAATGATAATAAAAAGTATCAGTTATAAATAAATACTAAGAATAAATAATCCCATAAACAATCCAATTGAATATTGTATTTTTATAAGCTCATTTGATTCACAATTTAGTTGTTTAGCCACGCCATGAAAACGCATCATTTGAGAAGCACACTGTGTAATAGCAAGTCTTTGTAAATGCTAAGGAAAAGGGGACGAAACGCAAGGCGTTCAGTAAACGGAACAAAAACACCAACGTTATTAGCGAGATTGGTGTAATCTGACTAATCTATTTTGGGAAAGGGGGCGCTCCGCTACTTAGAGGTGTCAATTAATACGTACAAACAGAATTGAATCGAATCTTGATAGCTATCTGACTGTTTCATTAATGCATGTACAATATACATCTTATTGTACATTAAAAATAATATTTAATTAAAAAAGAAAACCAAATTGGTCTTAAGGTCTTTCTTCTTTTAAGTTTTCCTAAATAAACTTCTTGCCTTTGCATTCTAAAATGATTTCTCAGTATATTTTAGTTAACGAAATTAGCAACTAAACTATTAATAAAAATGTATATTTTTTTACATATTTTGGAAAAATGATCCTCAAGAATTCAGTCACTATTAATAATGAAGGTTTCTTTCAGTGAAATTTAGTATGTAAACATTGATTTTAATCGCTTAATCTTTGACCGTTACTTTTTCTTCATACTGTTTGGTTTCTCATATTTCTTTAGTTTTATAAACTATTATGATCAATATTCTTTTATAAGTACATATTAATTGAAAGTTAGTTAATATTATTTAAATAAAATATTTGTTTTATTCAAGGTGATCGTCTGCTTGATATTCCATGCAACGTGTGTGGAGACAGAAGTTCCGGAAAACATTACGGCATATATAGCTGCGATGGTAAGTACTACAACACATACCTAATGTAGGTTTAATGTAATATTCAAGAAAACCGCTTTAGAAATAAAATATTACGCATACTGACAATGTTTTGATAACATATTACCTACTTTAGAAAGTGCTGTATTAACTATATTAAGCAACAGATTTTTTTAATCTAACATCTAATTTTGATTAAGATCAATTTATTTTAATTTGTAATGAATTCAAGCCAATAAATGACAAATAACTAAAAATTATAAATATTTTAAATTGCTAAACACAATTCTTAGCTATGGAAACTATATCAAGAATTAAGAAATTCAGTAAAATATCATTATAAGTGTCTTATTGATTGATTTATTCAATAATTTGATTTATTTTGTATGTTATTTGCATCAAATAGGCTCCGATACCACTAGACCGATTTTAAAAATTCTTTCACCTACGGGAAGCTACATCATACGCGGGTAACATAGTCCACAATTTTACTAACATGAATGCCGTAATAATTTTAAGGTATAATATTTGACTGTCCAGGATGTTCGGGATTCTTCAAACGATCGATCCACAGGAACCGGGTGTACACGTGCAAAGCGGGTGGGGACATGAAGGGACGGTGTCCAGTGGACAAGACCCACCGTAATCAGTGCCGTGCCTGCCGCCTTGCCAAGTGCTTTCAGGCCAATATGAACAAAGACGGTTAGTGCAACTATTTAAGGCCCTCTTGCTTACGTTCAAATACAAATACGATTACTTACCATTTTTTATTACAGAAATGGTTTTATAAAAAAAAATATTATAATCATTTTAAATTGTATCTAAACCTATTGTATATGGTCTTGTCATAAATATTGTTACATAGATAAATCAACATTTTTTTATATATTAAATGTAACTTTATTGCTATTGCCGTGTGTTGCTTAAATATATTTATATTCATATAAAGCCATTACAAATGTATACAGTTTATTTGGGGTCTCCGTTGGCTGCAATACAGCCCTTTAAACGTTAAGGTCAATTATCAATAGACGCACGCACTCTTTCCATTGGAAAAATTCTTAACTGCCAATAGTATGAATTGTTTTAGGGACTCCAAATTATCATAGTGTTTAGAGCAACCCTTAAACTCTAAAACTGACCATGAATCGTAATCCAGCGGATTAAGATCTGGACTAGATGATGCAGATTGAGCTCTGATGAAATCCGGAACGTTCGGTTGGAACCGAGATAGGATAGATCAAGCTTTATGACCTGAACAGTGTTGTTAAGGCGCTTAACTACCTTCTCGAGAATGTATCTTGATATGTGTAAATTTTGTATCATGATACACTACTGCCGATACTTTGATGCCTCTTTCACAAAAATATGGCGAGGGCACTTCGTCATTGCTAACAGTCCACCAAACCATCACTGAAGTCGGATAATGTCCACGATGTACTCTGTTGACTAATGGTGAAGCTACTTTAGCATAAATACGGTCATTTTGTTTATTAAAATATTGCTCTTCATTTTAATATCACAAAATAATTTATAGTGTTTGGCTCGAAAATAAGAAAAGACAAGAAAGGCAAAGGCATTGGTATTAGTATACAGGTTAATTACGCCGACAAAGAGGTAAAGTAAAATTTTGACCAAAAATAATTTTAGGGTACATGTTAAAGTGGGGATGTATTTTTCGTTTTCCCCATAGTATGGGACATGGTTGGATAGGTCTTTTTAAAACATTGGTGTGGGTAGGCCATTTTTCCATTTAGTAAACCGTTTGTGACTTGTTAAGCTTTAAAGAACTAATTTTCGTTACGGTAAAGGTACTAAAGTCAAGTGTCCCCTTCAACTAAACGATACGGCCGATAAAAATCAAACGTTACGGCCGTAGTACCTATATATAACGAAGTTTTAAGGAAGACTTAAGCAGGCTTCACAATTTTACGAGTAATTGACGATCAATTGTATTTAACTCAAAATTTCAAACAATCCCATACAAAATAACAAATATGATTTTTTTAAACCTTTTTTAAGGATAATGGCAAAGAACCTTTGGCTGGTTTTTTATATAGTTAAGATGAAATATATTAGTCGTAAAATCGATCCAAAATCAAATTATTGAAATTTATGCTTCTGTTTTTTGCAAAGAATCCATAATATGTTAAATTTTCATGAAATTATTTTTATTTGGCAAATATTAGCATTGTCTTAGAATAAAATTGGTTTAATAAATTTCGTAAAACCTTCCCTAAAGAAGAATTTACACGAGGATTTACACAAAGCAAGGTTCATTAAAGTAATTTCGGCACATGTGAAAGTAGTTTCGTGATAGTGTGCAATCAACAATATCTCTGAGACAATGGCTGCGTCAACATCGATGCTTTGCGCAGACGGTCTCGCAAAACTAGTTTCATTATGTAAATTTGTTGCGTGAAACTATTTTCATCAAAAATATGCTAATCGCACGATACTAGATCAGTGTCTTGAAATCATTCATGGCATGATGTAAGTGAACGTTTACACGAGCAACTGCTAGTGAAAATGCATTGAAAGTAGTTCATACCACTACTTTGATAACCTACCCAAATCTGGCTTTAATTTTAAATTATAACTTTAAACCAAAGCATAAAACCTTACTTCATCTCTATCAGAAGCACCTATAAATAACATTTTTTGTTTCTACAAAGATTACAATTTTCGTCTATTTCTTCTTTATAATAATGGTTTGTCCTTTCTAAATTTCAAGAATCAGTTTTGATGATAAAACACAATAAACACTGAGGCTGAGATGAAATAGAGATTTTTAAATAATCTGAATTGAAGACTTTGGCAGTTGAAGAATTAGTAAGTTCCTCCCGCAGTGAATAAGGAACCAGTTTGGAAGAAAATATAGCTCATGTTCTAAGCTTAATCGATTGAAGTGCTTTAAAATTCAGTTAGAAAATTTGAAGGACATACATGGTAATGTTAAATAAGAACTTATCATATTACATTCAAACATTTACCAAGAAGAAAGAAAAATCGTCAAATAAAATCGACTCGACAAGACAACGCAATATTGCTAGGGAATCGACGATAGCGGCATGACGTAATGACAGATCGAAACAGGCAAAGCGAAAATTGAACTGGTCCGAGAACTGCTGGTGCGTTCACACGTATACAGAATAGCAGGAGTGTGCTACCCGCTGGGCTGTGATCGGTGGCGGCGACCACTAACCGATAATGCTTCGACCCGCCATTGTCACAGGTTATTGTAACTGTTTTCAGGTATACGAATTGAAAATTTATTGCAGATGAACTCGGCTAAATCCATATGGGATCTGCCAATATCGATATCGTTTCATTGTGAGTGTACTCAACGTCAGGTAGGCAATAAATCTATAACAATAATAATGAATTTCTATTGGTTGGTATACGCATGTTACAATAATTTTGATAAGGACAATCAAATATTTTCATTAACGGTAGTAATAGTACATACTAATGGCAAACTATTTGATACATTATTGTTTCGAGGATCGATGTCTCAGAAATGTATTCTGGTTACTTCTAAAGCATTATTATTCCATATTACAAGAATACCGTCACACATCACAGTTTGATATAAAATATAGTTTGTTTCCTATAATTGACTATTTTTATACTTGCCTGTTTGAGGACCCCTAAACTATCTCAAGCGTCTACAGAATTTGAATATGTTCCTATTAATCCTTATGCACAGGTGTAGTTATGATGGCAATGCATAGTTAATTTAGTTACGTTGTTTTATATAAAATAGCGGACGGCTTAAGATGGCGGCTTAGATATTTTTTGAGTACTGTCATGATATCGAATGAAAGGTTTGTTAAGAAAAATACGAAATTATTAAAATATCTTTATTTTCAATCCAATATGAAGGATCACCAAAGATGGCAGACTAGAGCACGGTTGCCGAACAGAAAGGATTTCATACGTAAACACTTTAGGTTCACTTTACTATGACAAAATAGGCTAGATGCACCTATTCAAGCGCAATAGCAATATATATGCGTACGAGTAAAAGAGATATGTAGTGCCGGGTCATTGTACGAAATTCTCTCTGTTAGGCGACCATGCTATACTTACCTTTTACTCTTATAATAGTGATCACTAAGAAGATAATTCTCAAATATTTTATTTTTCTAAAAATAAAATATTAACTTTAAAGCAAATCGGACATATCATATATATAAATAAAAACACATTTTCCTACTATTTTTTTGAGGTATCTTGTAAAAAAGTCACATAAAGATGGTTATACTCTAATCATTTTTGTCGATAAAAACATTTCAATTTGTAAAGTAAGCAAATACTCGCTTTATTATCACTACCGTAAAGTTAGAGTAAGTCGACAGCTTCATAACTTTACATATACTTAGTCCCGAATTCAATCCCCGTGAGTAAATATATCAAGTATATGCAAATCTTGCTTTAAGTAAAATCTTGTGAATAATTGAATATGCATAGGGTCCCATGTCGGCCGCAAGTCGGGTTCAAACTCACTTTGAGTGACGATGGTAGTACGATATATTTATATACGTTGTGTTAAGACACACTCCACATAGTGTTATCAGGGTTGTCACTATAATTTTTATGCAAACAAAAATTAGTTGAATTTATATTACTAAAGCTTCTGGGAAGCCTTATAAAGCTTTTGGCTTGCTATTGAATGAAACTTGACAAACATCGGTCAATATCAAATCTCAATATATTCCATTGACATAAGCACTATCAGTGCATGTCCTAATTCTATATTTACCAATTCACCTTTGTAATTATTGGTTCTCTAATTTCATAATTTCCAATTCAATAAGCACTTAAGGTTATTCTTCTAGAAATGACATAAAAAATATTTTTTAACCTTTAAGTTTCCTGGTGTCCGTTACAGAAATTTTAAATATCTTTTTACTGATGATAAGCTAAAAAAGGCATCTGTTTATTTTTACTTATAATTTTGAAGCAGATTAAACTGAAATTTGGTGGCAATATTTTACATTTAACATTAGGATTTTTTATGTAAGGTATTTGTGAATGTTTTATAAGATGTCGAACTGAATTTCAATCATATTTCATACATGCAGTCTAGCAATTTAATTGTTACTCTTCACTGCAGAAAATAAGCCATCATAAAATACTAGTATACTTAGTTCTCTAAGTTGAAAAATGAAAAATGAAATCATACACACATTCTAATATTATGTGTCGTATCTATAAATCATATTCGCGCTTCTTTATTTGTTTCACCTACTAACATCAAACATAAAGATGACAAAAGAAGTTTTAAGTATTACACTACTTATATCCCCAATATACTTAGAGGTTGATGGACAAATTTTGTCAATACAGAGTAATGTGGTGTAAAAATTGTATTTAAATTCCTGAGAAACAGAAAACAACATAAAAATTTGAGACAGATTGGTAAATCATGTAAGATATACGGGCCTCTCATACTGTGCCAGAAAAGGTATATTTTCACTTCAAAGCGGGGAATTCATGACCCATGACATTACAGGAACTCATGACTTGACTGCCAGACCTAGTTACTATATGTCTGTGTAAAGCCAGAGATGCCTGCCCTATATTAAACGAGGCCTGGCAGGCATGTCTGCAGACTTGCTCGCGGGCATGCTCGTCTAGTGA